GGCAATCAAGATTTAGGCAGTATAGGCAGTGTTTCTTTTTTTTTTTTTTGAGGTGGAGTCCCACTCTGTCGGAGTGCAGTGGTTCGATCTCGGCTCACTGCAACCTCAGGCAGTGTTTTGTTTTGTTTTTACTTAAACCCTGTCACTGACCTAAGCTGGTTGATAATTTCACCTTTTTAAAAAAGAAGCATATTAATGCCACTTTTTCTAAAACAATAAAAATTATTATGCTATGTATTGCCACATCGTACACTTCATTAATTACACTCTAGAAGTTTAAATTACTTCTAAATAGCTGTTTTTAAAAGGGTGCATGGAATTTATAACTGATTACTGGGAAATGTACTGTTTTAATAGCATTAAATATATTCATCTTTATTGCTAGTTAACAATGTTAGCTAGTATTTGAAGACTAGACTGACAATGTCCCCTTTTATCAACCTTCCCTACCACCTGTTTACAGAAGAAATGGGAGGGGTTAAAACTAATAACCCTAAAAATATTGTTATTAATTCAGTAACGCCTCTGGAAACTACTTCTTTGTTATAACTAACTCTGGGGACAGTGAAAAGGAAACTATCAAATACAGTAGAACTTGAAATCACAGGGTACGAGCAGATTTGAGTTGGCTAAAAAGACCTTGAACATATTATGTAAACAAGCCAGAAATAAAAGGAAAAATAGTATATGATTCAACTTACATGAACCTAGAACAGGCAAATTTATAAAGACTGAAAGTGGATTTGAGGTTATCAAAGGCTGGGAGGACAGGGGAATGGGAGGTTATTGCCTAATGGTTGCAGTTTTTGTTTGGGATAATGAAAAGGTTTTGGGAATAGTGGAGATGGTTGTACAACACTGTGACCGTAACAAATGCCACTGAATTGTACACTTAATAGTTAATATAGCAAATTTTGCTGTATGTATTGAAACAAAATTAAAGTTAACATATATATCCCAAATTGTTTATTTTAAATGGGTGAATTATATGGTATGTGAATTGCATCTCAATAAACATTCTTTTAAACAGAAATTCATGGCCGGGCGAGGTGGCTCACTCCTGTAATCCCAGCACTTTGGGAGGCCGAGGCAGGCGGATCCCAAGGTCAAAAAATCAAGACCATCTTGGCCAACATGGTGAAAGCATGTCTCCACTAAAAAATACAAAATTAGCTGGGCGTGGTGGTGCGAACCTGTAGTCCCAGCTACTCGAGAGGCTGAGGCAAGAGAATTGCTTCATCTTTCATGTGCTTGTTAGCCACTTGTATCTTTCCTTTAAGGAAAGAAGTCCTTTGCCTATTTTTAAATTGGGTTGTCTTTTTGTTGCTGAATTTTAAGAGTTCTTTTTTTTTTTTTTTTTTTTTTAATTTTATTTTAAAGACAACCAAGGCAGCCAGTAAGAGTTCTTTATATACTCTGAATACAAGGCCCTCATCAGGTGAATTACTTGCAAGTACTTTCTTTCATTCTTTTCACTTTCTTGGTAATGTCCTTTGATACACAAAAGTTTAATTTTGATTAAGTCCAATTAGTCTATCTTTCTTTTTATTTCATGTAATTTGATCATATCTAAGAATGTTCTCCAGATGAGTATGATGGCTCACACCTGTAATCCCAACACTTCGGGAGGCCAAGGCTGGCGGATCACCTGAGGTCAGGAGTTAGAGACTAGCCTGGCCAACATGGCAAAACCCCATCTCTACTAAAGAAATACAAAAATTAGCAAGGCGTGGTAGTGGGCGTCTGTAATCCCAGCTACTTGGAAGGCTGAGTCAGTAAAATCTCTTGAATCCAGGCGGCGGAGGTTGCAGTAAGCCGAGATTGTGCCACTGCACACTAGCCTGGGCAACAGAGTGAGGCTCTCTCAAAAAACAAAACACAAACTAGAATGTGCTGCCAAATCTAAAGTCATGAAGACTTATCTGTATTTCTTTTTCTAAAAGTTTAATGGTATAGCTCTTATAGTTAGGCCTTGATCTAAACAAAAGTATAGGTCATTTGGAGTTCATTTCTGTATATGGTATAATGAAAGACTTCCCTTTTTTTCTTCTTTCTTTTTTAAGACAGAATCTCACTCTGTCCCCCAGGCTGGAGTACAGTGGCACAATCCCAGCTCACTGCAACCTCCGCCTCCTGGGTTAAAGCAATTCTCATGTCTCAGCCTCCCAAGCAGCTGGGACTACAGACATGCACCACCATATCTGGCCAATTTTTTTCTTTTTTTTTTTTGGAGACAGTTTCACTCTTGTTGCCTAGACTGGAGTGCAGTGGCATGATCCCAGCTCACCACAACTTCCACCTTCCGGGTTCAAGCGATTCTCCTGCCTCAGCCTCCCATGTTACATGTGCCATGCATGTGCTACCACATCCAGAAAATTTTGTATTTTTAGTAGAGACGGGGTTTCTCCATGTTGGTTAGTCTGGTCTTGAACTCCTGAACTCAGGTGATCTGGCCGCCTGGGCCTCCCAAAGTGCTAGGATTGCAGGCATGAGCCACTGTGCCCAGCTAATTTTTGGCAGAAACAGGGTTTCACTACGTTGGCCAGGCTGGTCTTGAACTCCTGACCTCAAGTGATCCACCTGCTTCAGCCTTCCAAAGTGCTGGGATTACAGGCGTGAACCACCATGTGCCGGCCTAGACATCTATTCTGGAATATCTATCAGGCCTCTCAAACCCAAACCTGCTCTTCCCAGTCTTCCCTATCTCAGCAAATGCTCACGTTAAAATTCTTGAAATCGGCTGGGTGCAGTGGCTCAAACCTATTCTAGCACTTTGGGAGACCGAGGCAAGAGGTTTGCTCGAAGCCAGGAGTTCAAACCAACCCTGCCAACATAGATTTTTAAAATCTTGAAGTCGTCCTTGACTTCTCTTTTTCTTATACAAGCTACCTCCAAACCATTAGCAAAACCTGTTGACTTCACCTTTAAACCATATCTCAAAATTGCCACCTCCTCCTCTACTAATCTGAATTATTGCAACAGCCTTTTAACTAGTCTTTCAGCTTTCACCTTTACCTCCCTACAATCTATTTAACGAGCAGCCACTCAGCCTGCTAAAATTTAAGGCTCTTCTCTAAACCCTTCAATGACTTGCTATTTCACTCAGAATAACAACCATAGTACACCTACAATGTCCTACCCTACAGAATTTGCCCCTACCATATACACACCTTTCTGGTTTCATCTTACCTCTCTCCCAGTCCCTTCCCATGGACTCCTGGCTGCCCTGTCTTTGCATTTACTGTTTCCACAGTCTGGAATGCTGCTGCCCAAGGTTATCTCCATGCTGGCCCCTTCACTTGGTGTTTGCTCAAATTCACCTTCTTAGTGAGGCCTTCTTTAACCACTCTATTTAAAATAGCAATTGTGCGTCTTTTGGTACTATTTATTCCCCTACCCTCTAACCTTTGCTTGTTTTTCTCCACAGTAGTTATCATCATCCGACACACTTTGTATTTTACTTGTTTATTCCCCGACCCCCCCCAACGCCAATAGAATGTAATCTTCATGAGAAAGGACTTCGATGTGTTCATCTGTAACCCCCATTGCTCACAATAATGCCAAGCACAGAGTAGACCTTCAATAATTAATTATTGAACTAATTAATAAATAACGCACTACATTATAATCCCCTGTTGCTGTACCTGTTCCCTTAATGGACTGAGAGCTTTCTGCATGCAGTGACACCCTTATTTGCCCATGAGTTCCCAGCACCTAACATCTGAGCTCGGCACATAGTAGGCATTGATTTTTGAAGAATGAACCAACAAGACAGGCCTACGAAACATCTCGGCCTTTCAAACATGGTCCCTACGCTACCACTCCCTAAATATAAGTCAGTGTGTGGGGGTTATCTCAAGGAAGGGGTTCCAATACCAATTCCACGCCCCACGCGTACACCCTGTTATGCCTACAATAACCAAGTGAGAAAATGAGTAACGGTAACAGCCAGAAAATGAACCTTGAACCGTGCAATGACAAGTCCGAAGGAGAGAGTAGCTGTGACGAAAGAAGGCAGTGGGAATCAAAACAGAAACACCGTCCCGGGGGTGGTGGCAAGGAGAGGGAAAGGCCCCAATGGCCACAACCATAGAGTCCTGCTCTCTTTTGACAGCTAAGGAAACTAAAGCCCAGAAAGGTAAACGACTCGCCCGAGGTCATACAGCAAGTGAGCCACGGCGAGAACCCACCGCATCCCGCGTCCGCGGGCAGCCCCAGCTCCCTAACGTTTGAGCTGGTGCCCTCTGCGCCGAGCCCCCGCCAGAGCACGTGCTCCGAGGTCCCCGGACGCCCGCCCGTCCACAGCTGACGGCCGCTTCCCCATCTCGGTCCAAAGCTGGGGTCGACGGCAGTGCGCTGCGCCCCTCTCCCACGCCCCTCTCAGCTCGGGAGCCCGCCTGGGGCCGGCGGCTGGCAGCGCTCACCGCCGAGGTGGGCCCGGGCCGCCCGCTCTGCGCCCGCCGCTTACCTGGCCGGGTCCCGTGGGAACCTGAAGAAGGCCAGGTCGGACTGCGTGCTCTTCCGGGTGCAGTTGGGGGCAGCGCAGAAGTTCGGCATCGTAGCCCGCCTGCCGGCCGGCCCAGCCCTCCCCTCCCCGCCTCCTCAGGGCAGTCCGCCCGCCCGTCGGGGACGGGGAGGGAAGCCCTGGGCCGGCCGGCCGGCTCGGCAGGGCCAGCGCGCGGGGGAGGGGCTGGCGGGCGGAAAGCCGCGAGGGCCAGGAGGGGTGCCGCGGTCCGAGGCCGGGCTGGGGACGCGGCTCCACAGTGCTGTGAGCGGCCGGGAGGATTTACCGCCGCCGCCGCCGCTTGTGCACCTCCCGCCCGCCCCAGACGCTGCCGCCTCCTTCCCACAATGCACCCTGACGCCCGGGGGTGCCCTCTCTTCCCTCAGCCTTCCTCCCCCGCCCTTCCTTTCCGCCTTCTCCGCAGGCGGGCATGCGCAACGAAGCGCGCCTGGCGGCGTGTGACGAGACGGAGGCGGGACTTGGCGCGCGCTGCCTCAGTGCGACTGCGCACAGTCTAATCCGCGAGGGAAGGGAATTGCGCATGCGCGCCTGTCTCCCTGGCTCCTAGAGTAGGCGAGCCCCAGGCTGCTCTGGTAGGTTTGGCGTGCGCGGGTTTCTGCAGATCTGGGGCGAGCTTGCACGTTACATCACCTATGCACCTCTTCTTGCTTGCTTTAGTTGCCACCACTTAGACCTTTCTTGCAGAAATCGCCATATACTCTTTAAGGGCCGCGGAATCGGGGCGACCTTGGTGACTGATTGGCAGAATCTCGGCAGATATGCGTGCACTGGTTGGATGCAGACGTGGTTGTAGGAGATTTGATTTTTCCAGCTTTGCAGCGACTGTTGGCCCTGTTAGCTTCCCAGAACGGATCTCCCTAGTCTCGACTGGAAGCTGAGGGACAAAATCTCAGAAACGCAATTACTCTTTCCTCACCAGGCTTCTAGGAAAGCAAGAATAGCGATATTATTACACCTACAGCCCTATAGAGATTGATCTGTCTTTCCCTCACAGTCGTGGCCTGTTAACGCTCCTGTGTTGTTCAGTGCCAGAATGAGTGACCGCTATTTAGAACAAAGGATTAGTATCAAATTTTGCGTGAAGTTAAATAAGTCTGCAAGTGAGACCCACCATCTTTTAAAAGAAGCTTATGGGGATGAAGTCATGTCAAGGGCCAGAGTTTTTGACTGGCACAAAAGATTTAAAGAAGGACGGGAAGATGTTCGAGATGACGCCCGAAGTGGGCGTCCAGTCACCCACAGGACAGATGAAAATATCCAGAAGGTCAAGGACTTGGTTTGTTCAAACAGGCAGTTAACTGTGAGGATGATGGCTGAAGAGTTAAATTTAGACAAAGAAACTGTTAGGCTCATTTTGAAAGAAAACTTGAACATGAGGAAGATTTCTGCCAAAGTTATTTCCGGTGTTTTGAAGGGTGAGCCTACACCACGAAAACTTGACTTTCAGTCCGATCTTTCAAAGGAAACTAGGAAAAATAGCTCATGTTTGAGGAAAAAGGTAACAGGTTCTGAAACATGGAGTCATCTCAAGGGTGAAGCTGGTGGGGAAATGCCCCTGCCCGTATCCCATCCCAGAGTCCACTACCCCGCCAGCCAGCTTCTTCAGGCTTCATCTTCAACAAGCCTTCCCCCCAGGGTAGCTGAGAATTGGTTCACCCCATGGTGAGAGGAACGTGAGTTAGCTGAACCAGAACTAGGAAGCTGCCTCACTGTTAGGCACCTTCTTTGGCTGCTCACCTATTTTCAGTCTTTGCTACTCCTCCCTGTATGTCATGGCCCTCCTCATTACTCTTTGCTGGACTGTTGGACCATCCTCCTTGCTGTTCTCCACAACTTTGAAGAACTTCTGGCTGTTGCCTTCTGGTACTTGCTTGTTCTTGATTTTTTTTTTTTTTGCTCAACAAGTTTGAATTTCTTCTCTGCCCAGACCTTAGCTTGTTGTGAGTCCTGTTCCTTTGTTCTCAACATTCTGCCTCAGGATCATGCCAGTGAGAAGTGAGGAACAGGATCTCCTGGATCTGTATCTCTGTGCCCAGGGAGACATGCTGTTCTGGGAGGACCCCAAAAGAAGGCTTACAGTTTCATCCTGCTTTGCAGTCAGGGCCTGAGGTATGGTACAGAAGGCAGTGGGATGCTGGTACTACTGAGCAATGCTAGCCCAAAGGGCTGATCTGGCCCAGATGACTCAGTGGGAGCGCGTTAGGAGGGGATGGCCACCAATACTGATCTTCTCTCAGGCCTGCACCTCACAGAAGAGCTGGGTTTGCTTCATTCTAGTCTTGTGCTTTGGACCCCCATTCATTTGGGTATCCTCTGCTGGAAGAGGAGGATCTGGTCCTAGAAAATATAAACCTGGAGACCCAGGCCTAAGCTGTGATGTGTGGGGAGGAAGACCAGGTGGTTCTGTAGACCCTGAATTAAGGGAGCCTGATACCTATGTGTGGATTCCCATACAGCAGCCTGTTTTTAGTAACTAATGCCTATAGTTTTAAGAACTTGCTGTTTTTAGAACACTGCTGGACGTTGACAATGTGGAAGTTATAAACAATATCTCCAGGAGCTGACGGGCTACATGGATGAGATGGTTCTTGAACTGGATCCATGAGGATGGGTATGACAGGGGACTGTGAAATTAGGGAAAGCAGGTGGAACAGCATGAGGCATCAAACCTGCATCAGTAGAAAATGATGACATTTGCTTCTTCTCCTATGCCTCCAACTCTATGCCAGTTGATAAATTGCTTCTCCTGAGTCTGTGAATTGGTTTGTAACAACCAATTTGATATCTGATTTTCCAGTCGGAACCTCCAACAAGCAGATTCTGCAAGTTCAAACTCGTTCATTTCTTCTCTTCCTACCTCTGCCAGGATTTATGGAATGGAACTTTTCTCAAGTGGGTTCCAAGGAATACCACATAGACTAGAAACATTTAGGGGCAGGGGTTTGGTAACAGCATTTCACAGAATTGGCCAGTGTCTTTGTTTTACTCGAGGATTTTTATGTATACCAGCTCCTCTTAAACAATATTGCTTGAGAATAGAGGCGCATCACTTACTTATTCATCACGGTTACTTTTAGTGCTGTTCTTTCACTTTCTCTACTCACCTGCAAAAATTACAAGTTCCTCATTAACACCTGTTCTTGTTGTGGTGGTGGTTGTTGTTTTGTTTTTTGAGATGGAATCTTGCTCTGCTGCCCAGGCTGGAGTGCAGTGGTACAACCTCGGCTCACTGCAACCTCCACCTCCTGGGTTCAAGTGATTCTCCTGCCTCAGCTTCCTGAGCTGGGATTACAGGCATGCACCACTACACCCGGTTGATTTTTGTATTTTTGATAGAGATGAGGTTTCACCATGTTGGCTAGGCTGATCTCGAACTCCTGACCTCAGGTGATCCACCCACCTCGGCCTCCCAAAGTACTGGGATTACAGGCATGAGCCACCATCCCCAGCTAACACCTGTTAATTCTGAGGCACCTTGAAAGCTAGACCTTGTCCCACAAAGTGAAGATACTATATAAGAACTCTTAAACCAAGCAACAGCTTATAGACCTTAGCTCCTTAACAGTTTCTAGACATTCCATTTCAGGACCATTCAGTCTTCTTACATCAGATGTGGCTCTGGGTTGCCCACAAGCACTTGGCACCACGGACACTGCACTTTAGGAACAAAGTCCTCATCACTAGTTCTTGCGTCTTTGTTGCTGAACTTATATTAATCCTTAATGAGGCCCACCCAGTGGTAATTGTTGCAGATTTATATGCTTCTGGACCCAGGCCAAGATCCCACAACCCTGCCTACAGGCATTGCTTCTAACCTGTTGTAACCCAGAAGTCCTGAGACATCTTACTTCTGGGTTTGATTCCAGTCCTATGAACAGTGCTGGTGTGTCCCTGCCAATGATGCTGGACCAAGACCCTTGCTGTAGTATAGAGTACCAGAGCTATGCTGGTTCAGACATGGTTTAGACACAGCAACCAGAAGCAGGTAATCAGGAGTGTGAATTCAAATGCTTCCAGGTGGCTGTAATGAAAAGGACTTATCCAGAGCAAACCATTCACATTTGGCTGCTCAGAATCTAAACCCAAGGGTAGAGCATGATCTAGGCATCCCCAGACAGGAAAGTTCTTATATGACTACTCCTAATGTGCTCACCTACCAAATCCATTTCGTTGCTGATCCACGTTTTGCCCTGGCCTGCACCTTGCTACCTAGGCCTCTTGAGCTCCTGGTCCCATAGTCTCACACATCTAGCTATGTGTCTCTCACACCCCAGGCTCTTCCCCTTGGCTGTTTTAAGACACCTCTCAATTTATTATGCACCAGTTTGCTCTTACTCCTCTATTTCCTTGTTGCTTTGTTTTCTGGTCCCGGGTCACACCTTCATTAGCTGCTTTTGGTCATTTTGGTATGCTGATCCTTCAATAGACCTTTGAGTCTATTGAAGTTTTTCCACTTAACTTACAATTCTTCTCTCTGATTTTTTGGATCCTTCTTCCAGCTCCCCACTTCAGCTGCTGAGTAAGGAAATTGTCTGCTGTAGCCCTGGCCCCAGGTCGCCTTCTTATCCTCAAGAATTTGGTGGGGCAACATGGGGGGATGATGTGTTGATTTGTTTTTTGTAAGGGGCGTGGGCAGGAAAAGGTCCCTCTTACCCGTAGCCACCATCAGTTGCACTCCCCAGAGGCACCCAGTGTCAGCAGTTTCTCAAGGAGGCAATTTGGTTACCTCTGGTACCAAGAGTCATGAAACTTTTTCAGAGCTATAACATCCAAAGCCCATTATCCTAGCAACTGTATTTTCCCTGGTAGGAGAACCTCCACCTAACCACAGATCAAGCCTGGCTTTCTGTGGGATGTCAGGAAGAGAGCTGGCCATCTGCAAACTTTCTCAAGCTTAACACAATTGGTCAATGACTCTGTTTGGCTTTTAGGTTGATCTTTGTCCCCACCCCCATGCCCATCCTAATTCAGAGTTCACATGAAATGTTTTATGCCACTGCTGAGAAAGAAATACATGCCTTCTGGGGCAGGTTATCCTATCACTGATGTTATGTACTTCTCCCCTTCCATCACCCCACCCTACCTTGCTCCATTTGCCCCACTAGTATTGATCAAAAAGAGAAAGAATAAAATGTTCACCGAATCTGTAACTTATAAAAAAACATGTGGATAGTTCTGCTGTCTTCTGAATTCTGACCCTGACTGAGTCTTCAATGAAACGTTATCATTTGGGAAGAATGTTTACCTGGGGCCTCCTTCCCAGAACCTTTCTCTCAGATCCATTTTTTAGTCAAAGTCTATACTTGCCTTTGGAAATGCCTGGATAAATCTGGATGCTAAATGACTTGAGGACACCGAATAAAGGAATGGGGTACTATTAGGGAATTGTCATTCATTACATTACAAACGCTGCTCAGCTTGCCTGCTATTTGCAGACATCATCACCAGCAAGTTTCACTAGGCTCTTTGGGATTGGGTCTCAGCAGGGTCCCTTGTGACTCAATAAGAGCCTACCTTTGCTTCTAAACTATATGATATCCTGCCTTCTCCAATTGCTTCTTCAATCAGCCCACCCAGATTTTGCCAGACATTTATATCTTTTCTGAGATATAATGAGAACCATCATGTATTTATGTTCTTCAGTGTCTCCCTTATCAGATCCTTGCAAACGCCATCCTAGTTGTATCACCCCTCTCCCTGTATTAATATCCAGAAACAAAAAAATCTGTATTGGGGAGCTATAGTACCTCCAGGGACTCACTTGGGTATAGCCCAACGGTCGACAGACTTCTGTAAAGGAGTCTTTATGGGCCATATGGTCTCTTTTGCCAGTACTCAGTATTTTACTGTAAAAGAAGACATAGCTGATACAGAAACGGATGAGCATGGCTCTTTCCAATAAAACTTTATAAATGGATACTGGAATTTGAATGTTATATAGTTTTTACAAAATACTATTTTGATTTTTTTTTTAATCCATTTAAAAATGTTAAAAAGAGGCCAGGAATGGTGGCTCACGCTTGTAATCCCAGCACTTTGGGAGGCTGAGGCAGGCAGATTACCTGAGGTCAGGAGTTTGAGACCATCCTGGCTAACATGGTAAAACCTTATCTCTACTAAAAATACAAAAATTAGCAGGGTGTGGTGACATGTGCCTGTAATTCCACTACCCAGGAGGCTGAGGCAGAATCGCTGGAACCCAGCAGGCAGAGGCTGCAGTGATCCGAGATCTCACCGCTGCACTCCAGCCTGGGCAAGAGAGCAAGATTCCATCTAAAAAAAAAAAAGTTGAAAAGAAATTTTTAGCTTTTAGGCCATAGAAAAACAGATGGCAGGACAGATTTGGCCCATAGGCCATAGTTAGATGCAAACCCTGGTCTAGTGTATACATAAAAATGACAGATGATTGATTATTTGTTATCAATAACTTTATTAATGCCACATTGATCTGGCAGTGTCTAACAATTTATTATGTAGAAATTGTGACCTAGGCACAAGAGTTCACATCTATAATCCTAGCACTCTGGGAGGCTGAGGCAGGTATATTACTTGAGGGCTGGAGTTCAAGACCAACCTGGGCAACATGGTGAAACCCCCGTCTCTACAAAAAAAAATACAATAATTAGCCTGGCATGGTGGCACTTACCTGTAATCCCAGCTACTTGTGGGGCTGAGGCAGGAGAATCGCTTGAGCCCTGGAGGTCCAGGCTGCAGTGAGCCATAATCATGCTACTGCACTACAACCTGGGCCACAGAGTGAGACCCTGTCTCAAACAAACAAAAAAGGAAATTATAGAATATTGGAGGGAATCTATAGAGCCAGGAGAGTAAACTAAAGCTGAATGATTGGCTATTTTACCTTGAACATACTCTGGTTCACAAAATAAATGTTGTGCTGGTTTTTGACTGAAAATGATATTATAAAACCACCTATATTATTCCCACGTAAAATATCAAAACCAGTGTTGGCCACACTGAAATTGATGCCAAGTTGCAACCAACAATAATAGAATGAACTGAAAGTAGTCCCAAAAATGCTTTGACCATGGGCAGCATTTGAACAACCTTATGTTACTGTCTATTAAAGGGTGTACTATGGAAATGACAAAACTCACTGAAGTGTATTTTTTGCATGCTTGCAAATATGCATATGTATTACAGATACATATGTGTATTTGCACCTTGCAACTGGTGCTGAGATGCGTCCTTTTAGGTAAGTATATTTGTTTTTCTCCTAGAGAGCTGTTTATTGTGTCACCTTTATTTAAACTGATTTTCCAAAGTTGTGATACAATTTTAGCATTGAACAGACCTTTACAAGAGTGTTTTCTATGAATTCAGGAGTAACTAAACCCTACAGCTGGTGAAAGACTGCATCTGAAAGAAGATTCTGTGTTAATTCACTCAACAAATTTTTATTGAGTGGCTGTATGTGCCAGACGCTATCTTGTGTGCCAGGATACAGCAGTGAACAAAATAGACACAGGCCTTGGATTAGATGGCCTGAAATCTAATTATATTACTCTTCACTCTTGCAAAATTTCTGTTTACAGTAACCCATTGTTAACTGCATACCTGGAAATAGGTATGACCATTGCCACATGCCTTTGTGCTCTGGTCTTGATGCCTCGCCATGCATTAATAATTTGAGGACTGCATGTTTCATTTAAATTTTATTATCCTTTAGACAGATCTCTATTGGTAGAAAAACACACTGGCAATGTTGGAAGTGTAGACAGGCAACAGTTTTCTGAAAAGCAATTTGGCAGTATCTATCAGGAGCTTTAAAAATGTTTATATCCTCTGATCCTCTCATTCCACTTCTGGGAATCTGTCCGAAAGAAATAGTCTAAAATATGGGCAAAATCGATGTTTAACAATCTTAAAGTCCAACAGTAGAAAACTGGTTGAGTAAATTACAGTATGACTATCCAGTGGAGTGTTGTGCCATCATTATAATTTATGTTTCTGAAGAGTATTTAACAGCATGGCAAAATGCTTATAGTGTTAAGTGAAAAGAGTGATATACAAAATTGTATGTGTAAATTAAAAAAAAATGTCTTTTAAAAAGACAGAAAGGCTATGCAAACTCTGGATAGTTGGATTATGGGTTTTCCTGGTTTTATGCTTTAAAAAAATTTATCCAGAATATTGTTACTTGTATTATCAGTAAAAAAACAATAGCGCCTAGAGCTGGCAGTGGAGAGATTGAGGCCAGATCACTAGGTTGGTCCATGAACAATTAACCTGGTGGGTGGACACAGAGGCTTTATGATCTTGTGTTGGTGGCAAGGCTGGGACAGAAGTGAAAAGGACCTGCCCAGGAGGAGAAGGGCATGTAACCATAATCACTACAAAAAAACACGAAGTGTTTAGGGAAGACACCATGGGTGGTGTGCTCTTGCGATGTATTCCTAGGTAGGTAAAAGAGCACTTACAAATCAAGTCCATTCGGACAAGTGGAAAAGGATATGCATGCTCTTCTGGGTAAAATTAACCTCCTTTGCGTTTCATTCTCACATTCTCACACGAAATGAATTCTCAAGACAGATTTTGTAATAGCTGATTCTCTAAAGAATCCTTGAGCTTCATATGATTTCTTTAGTATAGCAGTGGCTTTCGATGTGCCAAGTCTACCTCCTTCCATACTGGGACACTCAAGCCACACAGATGTATGCTGGAATACTGGGTATTCTATACTGAGAATACCGCACACATATCATTAGTCATCTTAATGTTGTAACTTACCAAACACTTAAGGTTTGCAAATGTGATTTTGTTGGCATCCAGAACCACTGTATTTTTTATTTATGTCTGAAAAATAATCACATTGTGGAGTTTTAAAATGAAAAATTCATGTAACTAATGCCTATCCATAGATGAAATTGTTATGCTGGGAAAATGTGTACTTAATTGCTGCTTTAGTAAAATGATTATTATAAAAATGTTAATGTCTCCTCAGTGAAATTTGAAACCTCCAAATGAGTACACAAGGTAAATACATATTTTATAGGCCTATAGAGCATATAATTGCCAAGCTGAAAGAGTTCTTTAAGATCCAAGTGTAGGCCGGGCGCAGTGGCTCAAGCCTGTGGGAGCCGAGGCAGGTGGATCACGAGGTCAAGAGATCAAGACCATCCTGGTCAACAAGGTGAAACCCTGTCTCTACTAAAAATACAAAAATTAGCTGGGCATGGTGGCACATGCCTGTAGTCCCAGCTACTCGGGAGGCTGAGGCAGGAGAATTACTTGAACCCAGGAGACGGAGGTTGCGGTGAGCCGGGATCGTGCCATTGCACTCCAGCCTGGGTAACAAGAGCGAAACTCTGTCTCAAAAAAAAAAAAGATCCAAGTGCAAGTCCTTTGGTCTATAGAATGAATGAGTGAGGCTCGGGTTTCAGTTCTGCCTTCTTATTAGCTATGTGACTTTGGGCAGTTCATCTGTACCCTCTAAAGTCTTCAGTTAATTCATCTATGAAAGGGAAATAATACCACATATGTCATGGAGTTGCTCATTTTGTTAATTTCGGCAATGTTTATTGAGTCCTTATCTGTGTACGATCCTATTCTAGACATAATAAACAAGATCCCAAAAAATGTTCCTCCTCATGAGCACATATTTCAATGAGGGAGACAGACAAGAAATAAGATAAATGAGTAAAAATAACTACGTTAGATAGTGATTATTAGATGTTTATACATTAAACAGTGTATATGAGGCACACAGCACAACACTTGGCATGGAGTAAGTGCTCAATAGAGAATAATTTCCTCTGTTTCCTGAGGCTTCCCTAACAGCTCTGGAATTACTCTACAAACGTGGTGGTAGTTGGCAAGAAGTCTGACTCATTGCCATCTCTTGCCAGTTAAGGCCTAAACCTGTTTTTGCTTAAGAAGACAAAAGAATTCTTACAGTGGTGTTTTGTACTTCCTGCATGGCAGAAGTATCAAGGTGGTGCCTAAACACTGTTGATAAATGACCCTTTCTGGAGCCAGTTGGCAGGAGTCCTTGCCTGGGGCAGGATGGTAGGGTTAACTCCACAAAGACAAATGCATGGTGTCATTGCTATTTAAGCAAAACAGACTAGAGGACCAAAATGGCTGTTTCTCTTAAAGAAAAGATGTATGCCCTATGTCCTGGGCCAAACATTGGAGCACTGAGCAAAGTTGGCAGTATTAGAAGGAAACTGGCTACTGCATTATTTATGGGAGATCAGAGCATTGACAGAAAGCCAGGAAAAGGAGAGTTTAATGCTTTGTGGTTTTGATATTTTTGCCCATTGTAGAAAATTTGGAAAGTTTAGAAATGTTTAAAGAAGCAGCCAGGAGTCCACTCCTAGGGTTTGGGTCTTTCATCAGACCCATATCCTTGCCTCAGCTTCCTCCTTCAAAAACATCCAGCCAGGCCGGGTACTAAGGCTCACACCTGTAATCTCTGCTCTTTGGGAGGCTGAGGCGGGTGGATCACCTGAGGTCAGGGATTTGAAACCAGCCTGGCCAAAATGGCGAAACCCCATCTCTACTGAAAATACACAATTAGCTGGGTGTGGTGGTTCATGCCTGTAATCCCAGTTACTTGGGAGGCTGAGACAGGAGAATCACTTGAACCAGGGAGGCAGAGGTTACAGTGAGCTGAGATTGTGCCAGTGCACTCCAGCCTGGGTGACAAAAGCAAAACTCCGCCTAAAAAAAAAAAAATCCAGCAGCCAGGCTAGGCACAGTGGCTCATGCCTATAATCCCAGCACTTTGGGAGGCTGAGGCAGGAGGATGACTTGAGGTTAGGAGTTTAGGACCAGCCTGGCCAACAGTAAAACCCCATCTCTACTAGAAATGCAATAATTAGTCGAGCATGGTGGCGCTTGCCTATAATCCCAGCTATTCAGGAGGCTGAGGCAGGAGAATCTCTTGAGCCCAGG